CATAAGGGGCACAAAGAATAATTACAGTTTGTAATAATAAATATGCTAATAATAATGATTTGATCATCACGTATTATAGACAAATAATGATAGTCAACACTGTACACCCAAAATATGTATAATCAATTATGCTTCAATAAAAAAAGTAGAAAGATTTCAAAAAAACAATGTAAAGATGAATCTCAAGGAACTAAAAAAGCAAGAACAAACCAAACTCAAAATTAGTAGAAAGGAAGAAATAATAAAGATCAGAACAGAAATAAATAAAACTGAGTGATAGAGTTTGGATGTGTTGTCCTCCCAGAACTCATGGAAATCTGATCCCCAATGTGGTGGTGTCAGAAACTGATTTAGTCATGTGGGTGGATCCCTAGTGAATGGATTAATGCTCTCCCTAGGTGGGGGGATTAATGAGTGAGTTCTTGCTCTATTAGTTCCTGCAAGAGCTGGTTGTTTAAAAGAGTTTGGCACCCCCCCCCACTCTTTCTTCCTCTTGCCATGTGATCTGCTTGTACCCGCTAGCTGCCTGCCATTTTGTGCCATGAGTAGAAGCAGCCTGAGGCCCATGCCAGATGCAGCTGTCCCAGAATCATAAGCCAAATAAACCTCTGTTCTTTAGAAATTACCCAGTCTCAGGTATTTTCTGTTATAGCAACACAAAATGGACTAATACACTGAGACTTTAAAAACCATACAAAAGATCAACAAAATGAAATGTTGGTTTTTTGAAAAGATAAACAAAATTGACCAACCATTAGCTAGACTAACAAAGAAAAAAAAAAGAATCAAATAAATAAAATCAGAAAGAAAAAAGGAAACCTCACAACTGACACCACAGAAATACAAAGGATCATTACAGATTATTATGAACAACTCTAATGCTGACTATATGAAAATGCAGAGGAAATGGACACATACAATTTACCAAAGTTGAACTAAGAGAAATAGAAAACTTGAACAGACCAACTACAAGTAAAAAGATTGAACCAGAAATAAAAAGTCTAACATCAAAGTAAAGGCCAGGACCAGAGAGCTTTACAGCTGAATTCTACCAAACATTTAAAAAAGGAATTCATACCAACCCTTCTCAAGCTCTTCCAGAAAATTAAAGGGAAGCAAATTCTTGCAAACTCATTCTATGAGGCCAGCATTACTCTGATACCCAAACCAGACAAGGGCACAACAACAAAAAGGAAAACTATAGGCCAATATCCCTGGTGAACATAGATGCAAAAATTCTTAACAAAATACTAGCAAACTGAATCTAAGATTGAAAAGATCATTCACCAGGATGAAGTGGGATTTGTTCCAGGGATGCAAGGATGGTTTAACATACCTAAATTAATAAACATGATGCATCATATTAAAAAAAATGAAGGCCAAAAATCATCTGATCATCTCAACTGATAGAGAAAAAGTATTTGATAAAATTTAGTATCCCTTCATGGTAAAACAAACTAGGTATGGAAGGAATGTACTGAAACACGATAAAGGCCATATATGACAAACCCACAGCTAATATCATACTGAAGGGCTGAAAAGATGAAAGATTTTCCTCTCAAAACTGGCAGAAGACAAGTTTTCTTCATTCTTATTCACACAGTACTGTAAGTCCTAGACAAAGCAATTAGGCAAGAGAAGGAAATAAATGGCATCTGAATTGAAAAGAAGGAAGTCAAATTTTCCCTGTTTGCTGCTAATATGATCTTATATATAGAAAACACTAAAAGCTGCACCTTAGAACTGATAAACAAATTCACTAAAGTTGCAGGATATCAAATCAACATACAAAACCCAGTAGCATTTCTATACATGAATAAGCACACTGAAAAAGAAATCAAGAGAGCAATCCCATTTATAATAGCTACAAAAAATTAACTAGAAATTAATTTATCCAAGGAAGTGAAAGACCTCTTTGAAGAAAGCTGTAAAACATTGATGAAAGAAAATGGAGAGGATTCAATGAAAAGGAAAGACATCCCATGTTCATGGATTAGAAGAATTAATATCATAAAAATGACCATGCTGCCAAAAGCAATCTACAGATTCAATGCAACCCCTATCAAAATACCAATGACATTCTTTACAGAAATAGAAAAAACAATCCTAAAATTTGTATGGAACCATAAAAGACCTCAAATAGCCAAAGCAATCCTGAGCAAAAAGAATAAAGCAGGAGACATTACACTAACTGGCTTCAAAATATACTATAAAGGGCCGGCCCGGTGGCGCACTGGATAAGTGCGCCGCTTAGGAAGCGCGGCGGCGCTCCTGCCCGAGGGTTCGGATCCCACATACAGACCGGTTCGCGCTCACTGGCTGAGCGAGGCGTGGGAGCAACACTGAGGGTTGCAATCCCGTTGCCGGTCCCCGGTCCGGTACGGGGGCAACACTGAGGGTTGCGATCCATTGCCGGACACGGAAAAAGACAAAAAAAAAAAATATATATATATATACTATAAAGTGATAGTAACAAAAACATGGTATTGGCATAAAAACAGACTCATAGACCAATGGAACAGAAAAGAGAGACTGGAAATAAAGCCATGTATTTACAACCAACTTACATTTGACAAAAGTGCCAAGAATATTCAATGGGGAAAGGGCAGTTACTCCAATAAGTGATGCTGGGAAAACTGGATGTCCATATGCAGAAGAATGAAACTAGACTCCTATATCTCGCTGTACACAAAAATGAACTCGAAATGGATTAGAGACTTAAATGTAAGGCCCCAAAGTATGAAACTACTGGAAAAAACATAGGGAAACACTTCAGGACATTGGTCTGGGCAAAAATTTTATGAAAAGAACCTCAAAAACACAGGCAACAAAAGCAAAAAATAGACCAATGGGATTATAGCAAACTAAAAAGCTTCTGCATGGCCAAAAAAAAAAAAAAAAAAAAAAAAAAAAAAAAATCAGGAGAGTGAAAAGACAGCCTGCAGAATGAGAGAAAATATTTGCAAGCTATATATCTACCAAGAGATTAATATTCAGAACATAGAAGGGACTTAACTGCAAAAAGAAAAAGTGTGATAAAATAGGGCAAGAAACCTGAATAGATATTTCCCCAAAGAACCCAAACAAATGGTGAACAGGTACATGACAAAATGCTCACCATCACTAATCATCAGGGAAATGCAAATCAAAACCACAATGAGATATCATCTCACCCCAGTTAGACTGACTGTGATCAAAAAAAAGAAAAATAACAAATGCTGGTGAGGATGGAGTGAAAGGAGAACTCTTTTATCTTATTGGTGGGAATGTAAATTAGTACACTCATTATGGAAGACAGTATGGAGGTTCCTCAAACAACTAAAAATAGAACTGCTATATGACCCAGGAATCAATCCCATTACTAGGTATTTATAGAAGGGAAAGAAAATCAGTATATCAAAGAGATACTTGCACTCCCATGTTTTTTGAGTTCTATTCACAATAACCAAGATGTGGAATCAACCTAAGTGTCCATCAGCAGATGAATGGATAAAAAAATACAGTGTATATGCAGTGGAATACTATTCAGCCATAAAAAGAAATTCTGTCATTCACAGCAACATGAACGAGCTTGGAGGATATTATGTTAAGTGAAGGAAGCCAGGCACAGAAAGAGAAATACTGCACGTTCTCACGCATATGTGGAAGCTGACAAAGTTGATTGCGTAGAAGTAGAGAGTAGAATGGTGGTTACCAGAGGCTGAGGAGGGTAGGCAGAGGGGGACAGTGAGATGTTGGTTGATGGACACAAAATTACAGCTAGGTAAGAGGAAGAAGGTGTAGCGTTCTACAGCACAGTAGGGTGACTATAATTAACATTAATTTATTGCACACTTTCAATTGCTAGAAAAGAGAATTTCAATGTTCCCAATATAAAGAAATGATACATGTTTGAGGTAATGAAAATAAAAAAGATCAGTGATTGCCAGCATTTCTGGGGAGGAAGGATGGAGGGAGGGATAAATAGGCAGAGCATGAAGGATTTTTAGGGCAGTGAAACTATTCTGCACGGTTCTGTAATGGTGAACACATTACATTGTGCATTTGGCAAAACCACAGAACTGTACAACACAAGGAAAGAACCCTTATGTAAAATTTAGTTAATGTGGGGGCCGGCCCGGTGGCGCACTGGATAGTGCGCCGCTTGGGAAGCGCAGCGGCGCTCCTGCCCGAGGGTTCGGATCCCACATACAGACCGGTTCCCGCTCGCTGGCTGAGCGAGGCGCGGGGGCAACACCGAGGGTTGCGATCCCGTTGCCAGTCCCCGGTCCGGTGCGGGGGCAACACTGAGGGTTGCGATCCGTGGCCGGACACGGAAAAAGACAAAAAAAAAAAAAATTTAGTTAATGTGTCAGTATTGGTTCATAATTATAACGAATGTAACGTAAGGTGTTAATAACAAAGAAAAAGTGTGTGTGTGTGTGTGTGTGTGTGTGTGTATGTGATGTGAATGGCCTGTACTTTCTGCTCAATTTATCTGTAAACCAAAAACTGCTATAAAAATAGTCTATTACTTATAAAAACTCAAAGAAAATAATGTTGTTAGTGATTCTGAATATTATTAAGGTTAAATCAGAATTGGTGTAGGGTTGATAATTAAAAGGATCTGGTGTAATTTCTTGCTTAAGCTGGAAATATGGATTCTGCTTCTCCAGGGAAACCTTTTCTCTTCTTTCTTTCTTTCTTTGTCTATTTTTTCTTTATTATTTCCTCTTTGTCTTTGTCTCTGTGTCTGTGTCTGTGTCTGTCTCTGTTTCTCTCTCTCTAACACACACACGCACACATGCAGCATCCACATCTAATAGGTGCTTGGGCTGGAATCAGGTTGCTAAATGCAGAGAGAAGAGAGCAGCAGAGAGAAGAAACACATTCAAGTCTGGAAGCTTAGTCTTTGTGGAGGTTTATTGAGAGTTCTGTAATGTGCAGGAACCTTCTGGAGATCTTCAGGGATGTGGCAGGACTTCAGCAGGAACCAGAGGCAGGCCTGAGCAAGCAGCATGGAGAACCTGCTCTGCTCAGGTCTGGTGAAAGACCCCTTCCAGGGCTAGTTCTCCTTCAGGATTTTGTTGATCCAGGGCCGGTAATGAGAGATTCGGGTGAAGACACCAGGGGGCTTTGCGTCAGGATGTCCATAGGAGACAATGCCCTGGGCCACCCCAGCACACAGAAGAGGACCCCCAGAGTCTCCCTGTGGGGGAGAGAGAAAAAGAGAGAGTAAGCATAAAGGTGAGCTGGGGAAGTCCTTGGTTCCTGCCCACAGGTCTTAGCTTGGAGGCACAGCCAAACCTGGGGTCGGACCCAGGAGCCCTGGCTCTGCAGAAGGTCTGGGTCTGATGCCCCTTCTTCCTTTTCTGGGGAAGCCACCCTGCCTTGTTCATGTCACCCCATGTACCCTGTGCAGCAGACTGGAATAGATGGCCAGAGACTGTCCTGGGCCATGGGAGGATGGACAGTTCCAGTTTCTTTAGTCCTGTGGTACTAAACCCTGGCTGACAATCTTGTGACCCCCGTCTCCTTCCTGGAGAATTCTGGTCCCTGAACAGTGATTTTTGGAGAAGAACCATAGTTGGGGGATCACCTTAAATGCAGATCTTGTCTTCCTGGGATTGCCCACACACAGCTGGAGAGTGTGGTCAAAAGTTGAGAAGTGTTTGCAGGCCTCGGGGTCCATGAGTCTCATCTTCACCTCTTGCAGAGTGTCTGAGCCTGGCTCCATCACACCTGTCTTTCCCCAGCCGGCTACTCGGCACATTCTTCCAGGTGGAACAAAGTCGAATTGGGATGGGAGGGGGAGTGTCCCCACGGCCAGGGTCAGGTTGGCTTTCTTCTTCAACTGTGAATAGAATGAGGGACTGTCAGTGCTAGCAATGGGCTATGGTGCAGCAATCAGGGAGGGACAGAGCAAATTGCTTCACATTAGAGCCAAGTCCAAAGGGGTGAGCTGGGAGGGGGTATAGCCCAGAGGCAGACCAGGGAAATTTCAGGACAGTGGGGACCTGGAGGAGAAGTCTAAGAGAACAGGAAGAGGAAAAGGGGAAGAAAGATGTTGTCACCTTTAGTAACATGATGTCATGGTGAAATAAAATAGAACCATATTTTGGATGAGGGAATTGCTTTACAACCTTCAGCTTCTGCCACGTGTCTTCTTTCTTACTTATGTTATGGGCTCCCAGGATGACTGTCATAGATCTGTTGTGAGGAAGGAAGAAGGGCAAGGAGACGCAGTGCCAGCTTGGGCTTTCTCCTGATATGTGACCGTTTTGAGAAAAGGGAACTGGAGTCTCTCACTGAGCCACTGGACTCCCATTCCCCCTTTTCTTGGGCCACTTGTGGCATTTGGGGGCTCAGGTTTTACTCAGGTAACAGTTTTCTCAAAGAACAGACACAATCTCCAGGACTTCCCCACCACTCCCCAGAATTGCTGGGGAATGAGCAGGCCATGGAAGACCCGGGGGACAGGATTAGCTCTTCCTCTTCAGGGAGCCCTATATGAGGGCCAGCCCTCAGAGCAAGAGGTAACACGGGAAAGCGTGATGTGGTAGGGTCTCATGTGGACCCTGTTCTCTGCCTCCCATGAAAAGGATGGGCTCAGGATCCTGAGAATTAAAGGCCAGTGTTCTTGAAAAGGGACATAGAGGAAGTGGCCCAGAACTGGGCGGGGCCCTGAAAAGTGAGGCAGGTGTCTTGTGTGTTGGGGTGGGAGCAAGGGGAGCTACCTCTGGAGGACAGACCTTGGATGGAGCCTCCTTGTCCTCTGCAGTGGAGCTGAGCTCACAGTGACTGAGGCTCAGAGCATTTATTCAATTATGGCACTAAATTTCTTTAAGCCCAAGTCCTCCCTCTGCTGAAAGTTCACCCGGGCCCAGGGTGTCCGCTTCAGGCCCTACTGCAGGTATATCCCTGGTTGCTATCCTGGTTGTTTATCTTCCACCTGGAGATAAAGAAGTCCCTGTTGTCTCACCTTCCTGAACAGTGAGCGGCTGTCAGCACAAAGTTCCGTCTTATTAGGAAACCACCACAATTCTTCTGGTGGTTCTGAGAAGTGAGAATTACCAGGTAGGCCATGTAGGGGCGGGAGTGTGGCTTGCACTCTGTGCCCCCGATGATCTCTCCTGGAACAGAGAACCCCAGGGCTTGAATACAGACATTGATACTCTCTTCAGAGAAGGTAGAAATTGGGTTAAAGTTGAGAGAGGCTCCCCTTGCATCTCTTACCCTGCATGTAGGGGCGGGAGTGTGGCTTGCACTCTGTGCCCCCGATGATCTCTCCTGGAACAGAGAAACCCAGGGCTTGAATACAGACATTGATACTCTCTTCAGGGAAGGTAGAAATTGGGTTAAAGTTGAGAGAGGCTCCCCTTGCATCTCTTACCCTGTATCCTGCCCAGCTTACCTCACCTGTCTCTTGTATTTGCTTTCCCCACCCAGCTTCCTACATAACGACTCATTCTTTCCTCCAGGCACAACAGCTAACCCTGCCCGAGATGCCATTCAGACATTTTCCACCTCAGATTTTCCCCACTCCCACTCTGCCCCTGGCCCAATCCTCCTCTGTCTCTGTGTAGGACAAGCTGTTCAGGTTCCTGTCTTGGCTTTCGCCACAGCCCATGAGCGATGTCTCATAATAACCAAATCTGTGTAGCCCCGAAGCTCAGAAGATTAAGAGAACATGTACGTTTTCCTGGGGATGCTCCTCTTCCTCCCACTTGCTCTGGGCTTTTCCCCAATCAATGTAGGATTCCTTGTTCCTGGGAACTAACCAAAGGCTGCCAAGAATGGGTGGGCACATCCCAAGTGGAGACTTCATTTGAACTCTTGAAGAGAGACCCTGGGATCCTGTTTAAGCCAGCTACATTCAGACTAAACATCTTTTTTTTTTTTTCTTTTTCTTTTTTGTGACCGGTAAGGGGATCGCAACCCTTGGCTTGGTGTCGTCCGCACCACGCTCAGCCAGTGAGCGCACCAGCCATCCCTATAGAGGATCTGAACCCGCAGCGGGAGTGCCGCTGCCCTCCCAGCACTGCACTCTCCCGAGTGAGCCATGGGGACGGCCCCAGACTAAACATCTTTATTTTAGGAACTGATCCTGCAGATTACAGAATCCGCACCACGCTCAGCCAGTGAGCGCACCAGCCATCCCTATAGAGGATCTGAACCCGCAGCAGAAGTGCCGCTGCCCTCCCAGCGCTGCACTCTCCCGAGTGAGCCATGGGGACGGCCCCAGACTAAACATCTTTATTTTAGGAACTGATCCTGCAGATTACAGAAGGAAGGGCCTGATACTCACCGGCATCAGCTCTGGAGCATAAGAGAAAGAGCAGCATGGAGAGAGAAAGATGCATCTTCTCAGAGAGGCTGCCCATGGCAGGTGCCAGCTTTATTTTTCAGGCTTGAGTTTTATAACTCTCAGCAGGCAAAGGAGGGGCAGCGCTGGTAACCACAGGAACTGGGTAGTCACGCTTTCTTTCTCATTCTAACTGGGCTGTATTTCTGATCAGAAGTTCCAATGGAATCGCCCTCTGTTTTGTAGAGGAGAAGCTGAGCCTGAACTCCCAAGTCCTGGCTCCTGGAATGAACCCTTAACCATGTTGCCTTATCTGGGGTAGGAGGTGGGAACTGGAAGGATCACATCTTTCCCAGTTAGGGCAGCTTGTTGCAGAGCTGGGGAAGATCTTCACATTGGGCATTCAGAAACATGTGTACTTTTATGGCTATGGCCCACAGTAGAAAATGCATTTTGTAAAAAGACCCAATGCATGTACACATGTATGTGTGAGTACATATGCACAAACACACATGCACACACACAAGTGAATCAAAAGTCTCAGGAAAAAATATTTATTCTGATTATGTACAGTTCTATTAGTTTCCACTCCATTCTCTTCCATTCTATTCCAATACATGTTAAAACTTGAACAGCACCCCACTTAAAGCATGATTACCTTCAACTTGAAAAACATTGATCTGGGTCTCTCTCTTCTTCTGAACCAAATGTTCATTGGCAGAGGAAGAGAAAAATCTAAGGAGAATAGATGGGGGAAGGGAACAGACTCTAGGATAGGACTTTATACACATCATCACAAGAGCAAGCAGGACTGGACTTAGCACTTTCTAAGACCATATGCATATCATTTATTGTTACGACTCTCAGATACATTATTACTTTCACAGCAACCCTGTAAAGGGGTATTATTATCTCAGTTTTATTGACCCAGCTACCAAGGCTTATGGTTCAGAATTAGATTTTCCTAATTCCAAATCAAGGGCCCTTTCTGTTTGACCACCAAAGAGAAGTAGAGGAATAGAGTCCCACCGATGGGGAGGGGAAGTATAGATGTAGGAGGAGGAAAACTTTCTCCAGGGGCTGGGGCTTCCTACTGTCACATTAGAAATTAAGCTTGGTTTTGCTGAAGTAGAATATACACAGGTGTTAGTATCTAAGGTTTTGCTTGTTTTCCCCCCACAATAACCTCGGGAAGTACCATAACTATCACTTTACACATGTGGAACTGAGACTCAGACACATTAACATGACCAAGATCATACAACTCATAGCTATCAGAACTGAGTTTTAAGTACATATCAGAGATGGGGACACACAGGGGATAAATACCTTTCCCAAATCATCCACTCTGTCCTTCGTCTCAGCTTAGGCTTGTGACTGGGTGATCCATTTTTTAGCACATATGGGCTGGGTTTTCTGTTGCCCTTGGCATAATTTCCTAAGCCCCAATCACAGTTTTGACATTCTCTAGAATAAGACGTTTACACACCTTCCTAATGTCTTCTCATATCTGGGCATCTTAGGAGTCTTTGACCTACTTTCTTCACTCTGGTCTGGTTACCAGATAAAATACAAAATTCCCAGTTAAATTTGTGTTTCAGATGAACAACAAATCATTTTTCAGTATAATTATGTTCCAGATATTGAATGAGACATACTTATAGTAAAGAAATTGTTGTTTTCCTGAAATTCAAAATTAACCAGGAGTTCTGTATTTTTATTTGCTAAAGCTGGCAACCTTACCCTGGGCATGCCACAATCAGCAGAAGAGAGGAGGATCTGGAGCTGGAGAAGTTGTGTCCTGTGGCTCTGCATCAGTTAGACCAAAAGGCAGAAGCTTAAACAAATGAAGGGTTTCTGTTTTGCTCTCATGTGATAAGAAATTGTGAGGTAGTTAGTCCAGGGCTAGTGTGAAAGCTCCACAGCCTCAAGGTTCAGATCCACCAGGACTCAAGTTTTGTTTCACCTTCCTGTCTGAAGATGAGGGAATGGAATAGGTTCAGCCAAATTCAGAAATGAGGACTATACTATCTGCCTATATTTTCTTCCTTACTCCGTCATGTGTGTATTTGTGTTTTTTAACAGATTTCCTTTTTCTCTCTCTTCTGCTATCCATCTGCTATTTTATATATAGTAAGTTGGTAGTGTACTTTGAAGTTTATTCTAATGTTATCAAGTTGGGAGTCTACAGAATATCAGGTTGGAAGTGTGACTAAAGTAGAGGTGGAATGAATATCACCTGGAGATCTTGAACTTGGAATTAAAAGCAGTAACTGAAGAGATTGGTTATTTTAGTTCTGGGGAGTCAAGCTTCATTTTCCTTTGTATAAAAAGTAGTGAGAATTATGTCCAATGGGAGAATTTTTGGTTTTAGAAAGTTTAAGTATGGAAAAAGTGTGCGTGTTGTTGTTGGGCAACCAAGTGATGGTAGGTATATGCTATATATGCGACTCCTTGGTGTCTTTTGAATACTCTTCCTATGTTACTCTTCCTGTGTTCCAATTCTTCAAATTGAGAATGCCCAATTATGATTCTTACCTTCTTAAGGTGGAAGCTGCAAACTTCCTTTCCCAGCTTCTCTTGTATTTAGGGCCCAGTCATGTGATCTAGACTCTGTCAATCTAATGAACAGGTATAAAATTTAATCTAAAAGAGCTAGCTGGGTCCCCTCACTACAGGCCTGCCTACTGGCCCCACTCAAGAAGTGGCAACCAGGCCTCCTTTCATCAGGTCTGCTTCTCAACTTAACCCACTACCCAAGAAGCTGCTGGCTGGCCCCCCTCTCTGAAGCCCCTCCTAGAGGCCTCATCCACTGCCCAAGAGGTGGCTGGCTGGTCCCCCTCTCTGCAGATCAGCTTTCCAACCTTGCCCAGCACTCAAGGAGCTAATAGATGGGCCACATTTCTGAAGCCCTGCCTCAAGGTCTTGCCCACTTTGTGTGAAGTGGCTGACTGGGCCCACTCTCTAAATGTCTGCCTAGCAGTCTTGCCTACCACTTGAGAAACAGCTGGTCAGATCCCCTCTAATCAGGACCCCTTCCTGACCTCATCAACCATCTAGAAGCTGCTGGCAGAGACACTTCTCTGCAGCCCCACCTTGAGGCCTCACTTACCACCCAGGAAGGAGTTGGTTAGGCTCCCTCCTGGAAAGCCCACTTCCCGACCTCATCCATTGCCTGAGAAGCAGCTAGCCATCTCTCCTCTCTGCAGCGTACCTTGAGGCCTCACCCACCACCTGAGAAGCAGCTGGCCAACCTCTCTTTCTCAGAAGGCCCACTTTCTGGCCTTGCTCAGTGCACAAGAAGTGGGTCATTAGCCCCACCCCTGGCAGATCAGCTCCCGATTGACACCCTAGGATGCATTTGCATGTGAAAGTCTTTCCCCATGTAAACTGTTCTACAAAACTCAAAGAGATGACTATACCACCAGATACATAGATATCAATGCAGTGAAACAGGAAACAGGAAACCACCAAAGAAACACAATAATGCTTCAGAACTGATCCCAAAGAATTGGAAACTGCTGATTTGCCAGAAAAGGAATTCAAGTTAATCATCTTAAGGAAATCCACTGAGATACAAGAGAATACAGGCAAACAATTCAAAGAGATCAGAGAAACAATTTATGCTCTGAATGAGTAATTCAAGAAAGAGATTGATGTCATTTAAAAAAATCAAACAGAAATGTTGGAATTGAAGAATTTATTTATTTTTTTTATTTTTTATTTATTTATTTTTTTTATTATTTTTATTTTGTCAATATACAATGTAGTTGATTATTATGTCCCATCACCGAAACCTCCCTCCCTCCTCCCTCTCCCCACTCCCGCCCAAGTGTGTCCTCTCCATTTGCTTGTTGTAAGAACTTCAAAAAAAATTGTAGTTGTTATATCTTCCTCTCCCCCCACCCCCCGGTTTTCCGGGGTGTATATTTAAATCCTTGATCCATTTTGAGTTGATTTTAGTATATGGTGAGAGGTATGGGTCTAGTTTCAATCTCCTGCATATGGATATCCAGTTATCCCAGCACCCTTTGCTGAAGAGGGAGTCCCGACCCCAGTGAATAGGCTTGGTGCCTTTGTCGAAGATCAAATGGCAGTAAGTGTGTGGGTTGATTTCTGGGTGCTCTATTCTATTCCATTGATCAGAGTCTCTGTTTTTATACCAGTACCATGCTGTTTTGGTTATTATAGCTTTGTAGTATAGTTTAAAGTCAGGTAGAGTAATACCTCCAGCTTTATTTTTTTTGCTCAGCGTTGCTTTGGCTATTCGTGGTCTTTTGTTATTCCAGATAAATGACTGTATAGTTCTTTCCATTTCTGAGAACTCTTTGCCTAATTCTAGGTCACAAAGATATTCTCTCATTTTTTTTTCCCCTGAAAATTTCATAGTTTTAGTTTTAGGCCTGTGATTCATTTTGAGTTAATTTTTGTATACTCAAGATTTAGGGCGAGGTTCATTTTTTTCTTTTGCATATAGTGTCATGAGAATTAAATGAGGCATTGTATGTAAAGTAGTAAGTGGAAACTCAAAAAAGTTAGTACTTTCCCTTGAATTTTTGAATGGCCTTGGAATAAACAAATTGCTTCACGGATATGGCTCTGACCTGTTGAGATGTGCACCTATAAGGGCAGAGGTATGGCTCATCTTAACACTGGAAGTCCCTGGGTGAATTGTAAGTCCACAGAACAGTTATCACCTTCACTCATCTCCAGATTTTTGTAAATGTGTTCCCTTTGGACCAAAGTTTTCCTTCACTTGTAGGTTTGCTTGGCTCTTACCTGGGTGTTGAGGAACAGCAGTGTCTTTTATGATGGTGGCTTTGAGTAAAAATTAGTTTGAACTATCTAAAGGCCAAGTAGAGGGCAGACACAAGCCGTGAGTGCTCACAAGTGTGCCAGTCAGGGCTGGGACTGGGGCAAGGCAGGAGAGGCACCGTGGGCACACGGCTGCAGGAGGCGCTCACTTTGAGTCATGCACATGTCTCCCTACAGGACTTTCTCCTTACATTTTGTCCCCCAAGTGCCTCCCCTGGTCCTGGCCCTGGCGGCAGCTTCTTGCAGGGAGAGGCC